ACTTCTTATAATAGTATTTACCACGTTGCATAGTCATTCATCTGCTTACCTCCTACTGCCCAACCCTATAACCCCTGCCCCAACCATTCTGGCAGATCCTTGTCTTTTCTGTGTTTATCCTAGGACATACTTAGAACACGGCTAGTAGGAACTACTACATTCTTAGTAGGCCCTCAACAAATGAATGAATTGTTCTTTGGCCTGCTTCTAAAAACCAAATGCCATGTCATTCACATTTAATATTAGAATGAGCTACTTTTCCTCTTGTACTTAGTTATGTTTTTCAACTCCTTATAAAGGCATTGTTAGAACTTTGCTCTCTCAATTCTGTTAATTCCTTATATACAAAATACCTTTCTGCAATTCATTTTTCCTTAAAAATTACTTCCAGTCCTGCTGATGAGTCAGTAGCTGAGGTATCAGGAAGTGATTCTTTAAATATCTTTTAAATACCTATAATTACATACACCAAACCCACATATCCTTCTCTGACCCCATACTCGACTTTGGTTCTCCTGATTTTTAATTCAAGGAGGAAAACGTGAAAAGACTTGGGGTGGGAATGGCAAAATGCAACTGAAAGTTAATTGCTTTCCTCGCTCAAATTTGCATAAAATTTAAAGCTAGAAGAAATATTAATAATTACCTAACCTAAATCCCTTTTTTAAAGTAAATCCTTTTTTCCTCCAGGAAACAAGACCAGAAGTCATAAAGGTCCTAAGTTTGCACAGCAAATTAGTGACTTGCTGATTCCAGGACATGTGTTTTTCTCTTCCATTATACTAACTGCTCATGAAAAATTCGGTGTTAAAGGCCTATCAACTATGCATATGGATCTTTTCAAGCTTCTATTTCCTCATATGTAAAGTAGGGATAATAATAGGAGCTATGTCATGGGTTTGTTTTGAGATTTTTTAATTGAACTGTAGTTGACACATGATGTTACATTAGTTTCAGGTGTACAACATAGTACTTCCACAACTCTGTATGTTATGCTATGTCCACAAATAGCTGCCATCTGTGGCTATACAATGATATTGTGATACCATTGACTTTATTCTTTGTGCTGTACCTTGTATCTCACTTTTTCATTCCAAAACTGGCAGTCTATACTACCCACTCATCTTGAGCCATTTTGCCCATCCTCTAACCACCAGTTTCTTCTCTGATTTATGGGTCTGTTTGGTTTTTGTTTTTTAGCTTCCACATATGAGTGAAATCATATGGTATTTGTCCTTCTCTGACTGGCTTATTTCACTTAGCGTAATACCTTTCTGGATCCATCCGTGTTGGTTCAAATGGCAAGATTTCATTCTTTTTTTATATCTGAATATTCTATTGTGTGTGTGTGTATATCTATATCTATATAGTGTATGTGTGTGTGTGTGTGTGTGTGTATATATATATATATATATATATATATATATGTACATATGTATACATATTTCTCTTCCTTAATTTGGCTATATTGCAGTATTTATAATAGCCAAGATATGGAAGCAAGTAAATGTCCATGGATAGATGAATGAAGAAGACACACACACACACAAAAATATTCAGCTATAAAAAAGAATGAAATCTTGCCATTTGCAACAACATGGATGGATCTAGAAAGGTATTATGCCATGTGAAATAAGCCAGTCAGAGGAGGACAAATACCATGTGATTTCACTCATGTGTGGAATTTAAGAAACAAAACAAATGAACAAAGGAAAAAGAAACCAATAACAACAACAAAACAAAACAAACAAAAAATCAAACCAACACCTGCCCCCCACCAAAAAACCAGACTCTTAACTTTGAGAAAAAAACAGATGGTTACCAGAGGAAAGGTGGGTGGAGGAAGGGGTGAAATAGGTCAAGGGGATTAAAAGTACACGTACCTTGATGAGCACTGAGTAATATATGGCATTGTTGAACCATTATATTGTACACCTGAAACTAATATAACTATGTTAACCATACTGGAATTAAAAAAATTTTTTAAATATTTTATTTATTTATTTGACACAGAGAGATCACAAGTAGGCAGAGAGGCAGGCAGAGAGAGAGAGGGAGGGAAGCAGGTTCCTTACTGAGCAGAGAGCCCAATGCGGGGCTCGATCCCAGGACCCTGAGATCATGACCTGGGCTGAAGGCAGAGGCTTAACCCACTGAGCCATCCAGGTGCCCCTGGAATTAAAATTTTTAAAAATACTACAATGAGCATAGCAGTGAATATATCTTTTCAATTTAGTGTTTGTGTTTTCTTTGGGTAAATCTCTAGTAGGGAAATTACTGGATGATATGGTAGGTTGACTTTAAATTTTTTGAGGTAATTCCATGTTGCTTTTCATAGTGGTTGCATTAATTTGCATTCTCACCAACAGTGTAATAGGGTTCCTTTTCTCTACATCCTCACCAACATGTTATTTCTTGACTTTTTGATTCTAGTCATTCTGACATATGTGAGGTGGTATCTCATTGTGGTTTTGATTTGCATTTCTCTGATGATTAGTGATGTTGAGCACCTCTTCATATGTCAGTGGGCCATCTGTATGTCTTTTTTGGAAAAATGTCTATTCAGGTCCTCTGCCCATTTTTAATTAGATTGAGTGTGTGTGTGTGTGTGTGTGTGTGTGTGTGTGTGAAGTTCCTAATATATTTTGGGTATTAGCCCCTTAACAGATATATGATTTTTAAGTTGATTCTCCCAGTCATTAGGTTGCCTTTTCCTTTTGTTGATGGTTTCCTTCACTGTGCAAAAGCCTTTTATTTTGGTGTAGTCCCAGTAGTTTATTTTTTTTGCTTCCTTTACCCAAGGAGACCTATCTAGAAAAACGTTGCTAAGGCCAATGTTAAAGAAATTATTGCCTATGTTTTCTTCTAGGAGTTTTATGGTTTTATGTCTCATATTTAGGCCTTTAATCTATTTTGAGTTTGTATGTGGTATAAAAAGTGGTCCAGTTTCATTCTTTTGCATGTAGCTGTCCAATTTTCCCAGCACTATCAAAGAGACTATTTTCCTCATTGTACATTCTTGCCTCCTTTGTCATAGATTGACCATATAAGCATATTTCTGATTTTTCTATTCTGTTCACATGCCAACTTGTGCTTAGACTTATCCTTAACCTCTTCCCGGGGGACATTAATACTCAAGTCTATCAGTGCCAGGAATGAAGTAGGTATTGTTGGCCATGGTTTTCCAATGAGTGACTGCCTTAGGCCCGCCCCTAGTAAATCATCTTATGGAACCACAGGGCCCTCATGATGTCACAGGATGAATATCTTATGTCAGGATCAGATTTAAAGTCTTTTAGTGAATAGGGCTGTCACTCTCAATGTTAACTAAAACTTACTATTAACTTCTTATTCTTTCCATAGTCCTCTTTTGTAGTTCCAATGATCTTCTACCCATTAAGTCCGTTAGCATTTTAGGATGACTTTATTTGGATTGCATTTTCCTTCAGGACAAAGAAAATATTGGTTTCTGAAAAAATTGATAGTTGAAGTGGGGGGGTTCCTGAGACCAGCTGTACATGTTTGTCTAAGGCTGGCCTACAGTTAAATGGCCTTAATAGACATGAATGGCTCTGATAAGGAGGCAGTAATTGGACAACAGAAGGGCTCCTCTGAAGGCATGATCATCATTGTTTGCTGCTTACAGTGGTAAAGGGGGTAAAGTAATCAGTAGGACATGCTCTGAAGATAAACTAAAGGCAATATCCATGCTAGGTTGTACAAAGATGGCTATAGCTGATGGTGTAAACCTAGGGACAAGGAGGGAAGGAGGGAGAAATCCTCCACAACTGTCTACCTAGCACTTAACACGGCTTAGAGTGACTATATACATGTATATAGCATGTTATAACTGACCGTCTTGCCAATGAGAAGCTAATCATCCCCCATATCTAGGAAAGTGAGAGGGTCACATGACACATATCTCCACACTAAGCTACTGCCAGCACCTATAGGTATGAGCTCCTTATTCATAACATTAAGGTAGCATAACATTTCATCTGCCATGTGACTTGCATAGTCTACCCTTTCCACTACACCCCTTCCCTCACCTCCACCCAATCCTAAACTCACCCCTACCCAATCCCGTCTACCACCCACCCCCCAATATAATTGTCTTCCATCATGAGTTATAGGAACTTCTGGAAATTTGGTTTGAGCCAGTGAAAGTACATGTCAGTTGCTGTCTGCTTTTCATGACCAAAGTATCTAAATTCTTTAGTCCTCTCCTAGAAAGGGCTGAATGACTGTCTTTTGCTCCTATCCTCTGTAGTGTATAAGTACTGATTCTCGAAGCCTGGGTCATCTCTGTAGCTACCAAGTCCATAGCCAGACCCTCAATGGCTGCCTTTTTTCCCTTTCTGGATAATGTTCTCCCTTCATTCCATGGGAATTCCAGCCCTAGAAGAAGGGACTAAGGAGGAGGCAGGGTACCTTTGGCAAACACTTGGGTGAATATGAGTCATTGTGAGTGTAATGGCCTTTTCATTTGTTATCTGTTTCCATGGTCACAGCTGGGTCTCAGGATGGGAAACAGCCCTCCACACACTGGGTATCATTACATCACTCCTCTTAGTAACCTCTACTGCCTTCCTGTTGCTTGCAGCATAAACAAGGTAGTATGGGAGGTACTCTGCATACTAGTTTTGAGCCCATTCTCCTTCTTTTTCTTCACTTTCTCCCAAGACTTCAATCCAGTGCTTACAATGTTTTCTTTTCTCAAGATCCAGTTCAAACATCACCTTCCTTGGGAGCTTTACAGACTTCACTGATGTGGAGCTGGTTCTCCTTCCTCTGAGATCTCACTGTACTGTATGTTCACCTTCTCACATGGTACTCTAATTACTAGTCTATGCATCTGCCATTCCCACCCACCTTGCTCTTGACGGTGAGCTTTGCACGGGCCGGTGTGAGTCTTACTCATCTGAGTGTTGGAGCCTGTGTTCAACGTCTGGCTCTCAGTAGGTTTTCAGACAATGTTAATGAAGGAAAAGGGAAGAGAATGGGTCTTCTATCAATTTATTGAGCAAAACACAGGTAGGATAATATAGTGAGGCACTGATCCAGTAAAGAGAACAATGATGTTTTAATGAAATTTCTTTTAAATCTGTGAAGTACATGTGAAGTAAATGTTTTTATTTTTTCCATAGGACAGATTTCCAAACAATGATCACAGTGCTTAGGTTAATAAGATGCTGGACAGATGAGGAGCCAAAGAATGCTATGAGATAACAAAATCCCTCCAACTATGTATCAAATGCAGATTACTGAAACATCAAATGAATGATGTTTAGAATGACATGACTAAAAACAAGACATTACAGTCATCAAGTCCATAAAACTAGAAAAAGCTGTATCACAAAAAGACCTTTCACAAGCTATTAAATGAGCATATATGATAGATGAACCAATTTTATATTTGAAGCAGCTTATAGCACCAACACATTGGCAGGACCTGTAGAGTGGGCCATTGGACCGAGGCATCAGAGGGGAGGTTGGGGCGAGTCTCTACCATCCTCTACTTAAGCCTCCTGTTTACAGATGGTGAAATGAGGGCCCAACGAGATGAAGTGCCTTGTCCGAAGTCTCAGGACATAGGGACACAGGATTGGCTGGAAAAGGAGCCAAGGCTACGATCCAGGCCACCCAACTTTAGGTAAGTGCTCTATTTTAATCTACACATATTTCTATGTGTTTCATGTGTTTTGTTCCTATTAACTGATCTACCATAAAAGAAAATACAATTCATAACACACTCCAGTATTTTATTTTATTGAGAAGGACTGACATCTACTATAGTTCATTTCCTGGGCCTCTATAGATCTTCAACTGATAGTTGGAATAATCAGACGACGCTTATCTTGTTTGTAAACTGGCTGAGAAGGCAGCATCCGAAGCCAAGTTTAGCATATCTTCTACTACCTAAACTGAGCTATGCCTCAAAATTACTAAGTCATTGGTAAATTTTTTTTTAATAGTTTAAAATACAAAAACAGTACAGAGAGAAAGCAAGTTGGGTCCTTCCTTTAAAAGATCATTATGGAACTCCGATTTTAATAAGGTAAGGAAATGTAAAACCCTGATTCTTTTTAGAAGAATAAGTAACTACAATCTAGACCTTGTGAATGACATCTTATAATGCGTTTCTATAAAATACTTTGGAATCATGAACTTTTGTCTAGCATATTTTGCCATGGTCCTGAGGCCTCAATGGATAGACTGATGCACTAATGAACATATAAGAATGAAAAAGGAGATCACTATTAACAGAAGCAGCATTAAAGACAAAAGTCAATAATGAACACATTTAAATAGCTTCATAGATATGAAGCCAAGAAGTTGCCAAGTATATAATGTGATTAAGTGTGTCTTTATAGTGGTAGTTGGAAAAACAACAACGCCAACAACAACACAACACATACTGGGTATTTGTCCATTATAAGCCAGCTACTGAAGAACAGTTTAATTGTGGTTCATAAGTTGAATAGAGCCTGATAAATAAAAGTGACTTCTGCATATCCTATACATAGATTTTCTTACACAGACATCTAGTTGAAAGTCAATCAACATTTAGCTACAATTTTCCCCCACTGGGTCCAGCACCCAAGGATAGGATTTCACTTCTCTTGAACATGCCCTACACCTAGTTAGGAAGTTACATGACATTCACACTCCTAGCCTTTATGATATCTGACCAGCAAAAATGAAATCTCCTGGGACCTCGAGTCTATTCCTTACCAATACAAGCACATCGACAAATAGAGAGCAAAACACGTTTTGTTTTCTGTTAGGTAAAAAGGACATAATTTAGTACTAAAGAATAAACTATGCTTGCTACTGAAAAGTTGCACATATGCCAAAAAGGTATAATAAAATTTCATAAAAATATTTAACAAACTGCCTCATAAATATTTAAAGAAAAATGTTAAAATCAGAATGAGAATAAGATTAGTGTTCTGAAACAATCAGTAGAAAAATATACTTGTTAAAAGGAAAGGCCTCGTTCAGTGAAGCATTAAATGTAATGTCTTTCTGGTGTACATTTCAAATTTCACCTTTAGCTCTCCTAAACAGGTGCCTCTAATTTACTTAGAAATGGGGCCTATTGCAAAACCAAGCAGTAGATGACAAGAGGTTAAGGCCAGTGGCATGATTTTCACATGATGTTGGAAAAGTGAGGGCAGTTCCCAATGCTGAACAGATAGGTGCCTGGGGAAATCCCGACTATATTTGAGCAGTTTAAAAACAGCCCTGCATGTGTTCCCCCACAATCAGCTTCATACTCCAAACCCAGACATTTGATTTTAAAAGGGGATTGTGTTGCAGGGCAGGATTGTACAGAACTAGGGAAAACCATTGTAGGTAATATCCTGGGGTTGGATCCTTTTTGAAAATAAGCTTTGAATCTGTCACTAGTAGGTATTTTAATGAACTAAAGATAATTGAGAAGCTCAAAGGCTTGTGTATGGTTTGAGCCCTTAAGTGAACATTTTTGTATAAAAAAGGGATTCTTTCTCCTTTGATAAAACTAAAATACTCTGTGGCCATAGGAGATTCCTCCGGGTGCCACTGGCAAGTCCAAGGATTTGAGGGCTCTGCTCATGTCCAGAGGAGTATCAAGAGTCTGATGAGCACCTGCTGGAACCCTGAAGCCCTGGTACTGTACCCCCGAATCCAAGCCTGCCCGGGGGCGTTTGTGGACAAGGTTGGAAACAACACAGCGGCCCAGCAGGTATTTGTAGTGTCTTATACCTTTGGCTTTTGTATGTTTCTTTCCCACCACGTTCCACCCACTTGGGGCTGGGGAGGTGATACCACACCTCTGGAAACAGCCATTCGAGCAGGAGAGGAAAGATAAAGGACCGGGCAGTGAGGAGGAATTCACCAGGGTTGGCTAAGGAAAGCAGCTGGCTTTCACACATTCCTGCTCCTCTTTGGGCGGGGCTCATGTGCACAGTCTCCCTCCGAGCACAAGGGTGGACATTTCTGAGGTCTCTAACCCTAACCCAGAGAACACAAGCCCCAGGGCCACAGCTGCCCAGAGGCCTCCCGGCACCAGCCCCGCCCTTCTAGATGTGGGATCACTGAAGCCCAAAAGGCTCCCTTATATCTCCTGAGAGGGTTTTTAGTTCAGTTTTTAATTGGTACTGTTGATTATAGCTTAAGAGGTCAGCACGATTTCTTCGCTACTCAATTATAGTGGCTACAATCTTTAGGATGGCCTTCACTGTCTGTACAGTAACTGCATGAAAAAAATCTTACCCACTTACACACAGCTCAAGGCAAAGGTATGACTTCTAAAGGTGAGGAACTGCGGGCATGGAGAAAGATTTTACTAAGGAAATAAGCATTGATATGTGTATATACAAAGACATATATACACAACACACTCCTCACGCAGGTACACTGTACAGTTGGCACAACCCTATTAACGTACTAGGATGTAAAGGTTTTAGAACTGAAGTCATTCTTGGCATTTTAATATACACAGCTACTTAGGTAACTGAGGTCTGGCTATAACTGGCTTTTTCGCATATTTAAAAGGATATAATCGTCTTTTTTTCAATGGCCCAAACCAATATGACACCATCGTTATCAAATGGGAAAGAGGATTGTTATTCTGGATGAAATCAGTAAAAGGTGTTTTAGAGAAAGGGCAACTTGGAAAATAAAGACGTCAGAGTCGATTATTCCAAGTTAGAGTATTTTAGTTATTAGCAGTGGTTACCAAATAAGCTGAAAGTAAATTTCTTCCAAGGAGCTGCTCAAAATTTGCTTTGTTGAGAAGAGGCGAGGAGCCATTTCAGCGTTCCTCTATAAGATGATGCAAGTTTTTTTATCCTTGAAAGGGTTTTCTGAGGTCGGTATCCCTATCAGCAAAGGGTCGCTCCTGGCGTGCTCCTCACAGTAGGACATGAGGTCCGCTGACGCCTTTGAAACCTGCCAGAGGGAAAAAACCAAAGCAAGGAAACAAAATTTATTTACAAACATTGTGAGTATAACTGAACAGCGACGCACTGGGCAGAGGACTGTTGGAGTGATATTCTGAGAGCCGGCTTCTCCCGAGATTACTTGTGAGTGAGGAAAGGAAAAAGACGGACCAGTCTGGCAGCGCTGGCCTTTTTTCGCCAAGTGGTCAGACTCAAAGATCAGACAGAATGACCTCCTGTGTCTCCTGGTGTGAGCACAGATGACCTACCCCAACTGGCAACTTGGAAAATAAAGTATGCCAGTATTTAACAGGAATCGAATCCTCAGCAACCCGGGGTAATTTCTGCAAAATGAGTGGCCTGGATTCTTCAAAAGCGGACTGTGTGGCAGATTATTATTAGATGATCCTGAATGTTACCATTGTACTGTGGCTATGCTGAAGAATGCCCTTGGGTCCAGGAGATAGACGGTGGGGGGTTTAAGGGTGAAGAGTCATGAAGTTGCACAGAATGTTCAAGAGGCTTAAAGGATAGGAGTTGTGTGGGTGTGTGTGTGTAGACAGAAAGAGAAAGCAAATGAGCCAAAATGTTAATAATTAGTGAATCTTGGCAAACACTATAGGGGTGTTTGTTGTTATAACTCTTCTATAGGTTAGAAATTTCTCAAAGAGCCGGAGGGGGAAGTATATGGGAATCAAGGCAAGGGTGTATCTTAGTTTGCATTTGAAACAAAACTGGATTGCAGCAAGGTTTAGGAACGGAATTATGGGCCTGGAGCCAATACTCTTGAAAGATAGTCAAGTTCTAAAGAGCTTCAAGAGTTAAAGACCCAGCCTGGGAAAATAAAAAAAGGGACAAAACCAGAAGGGGACGATTCAGTGCCTTCCTCTGGCGGGAGTTAAAAATGCCCTGCCCTGTTCAGAGGCCGGGGTGGGATATCCCGCGGGATCATGAGATCCGTGTCTTTAATGCAAGGAGCACAGGGCAGCTGAGGCCTGTCCAATACAGCCCAGGCAGCCTGCTGTTTTGAGGACAGGTGACTATCTCCAGGCCCAGAGGAATGTGTCAGGTGACTGCTTCAGTTTCTAGGAAACAGCATTACTCACAACATTCCAGGGCACACACTGCCTCGTCCTCTCTTGGGATTTGGGGTGGGGGAAGACTTTGAAGTCAGGTGACCATATAAATGCCTTCCCGTTTCTTCCAGATCTCAACTAAGGCTGGCATTATTCATGCTGGCTGTAGAATGTGTCTGTAAAATAGTCCACATACATTTAAAAAGCAGCATACTCTTAAAAAAAGGAGACCACGTGTGTTGACTAGCTGTGCAAGGCTGGCTCACCTGCACTGATAACTCTAGAACGCTTCGTAAATTCCAGAGGGATCACAAGGGTGCGTTCCTTAAGTCCATCTGGACCCCCTGGCCCAAGGCAGAACACCTAGATTGTGGGACTTGACGGGGCTGGGTCAGGGAAGGAGGGACCTCAGGGGATCCTGTCCTGGGTTTTAGGTTTTTCTGTCCAAACAGAAAGGCTAACTGAGACGCTTGGGCTGCCCTGTGCTGAAACTAAAGCCCATGCCAAGCAGCAATGAGAGTTAAGACTCTGAGGCTCTTTGCTTGCTCTGGGAAATTCCTGCCCCCCAGCTGCATTAAATGGCATTGTCTTCTCTGAAAAGTGGCCTCGCCTTCGGAGAGCAGAGGGGCCCGATCCCACCCAGGCTTCTGACCTTTATTCTCTCGATGGAGGCTTCCATTCTCAACTGTTGCACTGTCCTCCTGGCCTGGGCGATGTTGTTGGTGCTTGCTGTTTTGCTGGACATCTTCAACTATTGTTTCTACCCGAAACCTGAAAAGAATGTCAATTGTTGAAGCAGTCCTAAAGCTTTTGCTCCTTAGGGGAAAAGGATGCACCTTCCCACTCCTCACAGGTGCTGGTAGGTAGTTACTAAGATGCCCTCCCACCGGAGCTCCTACATAGATCTTTCGTTTGCAGTACTAGTTGCCTAATCCGTGCACCCTGACACACAGCACAATGGAGGCTTTTCTAGCATTTTCTAAGAGGGAACAAACACTGACGGTAGTAGGGGGGCCTCCAGCAACGGTGAGCGAATGCAAGCACAGGCCACATTACGCACACAGTTTAATATTACTGCTATGTGCTTTAGTGGAAGGTTCGATTTTATTTCCTTTTGGCTCTCTTACCCAACTATTACACTGATTCAAGTCCTGGCAACCGAAAACAGTGAAGGAGAGTGCCTCTGGAGAACTTTGTACAAAGGGTGCATTTTTAGGTGCTATCGAGGTTTGCAATCGTTTGAGGAATGTTAGTTAGGCAGATAAGGAAGTCTTTATTCAAGGAAAAGTGGGAACCTTTCAGCTGAAGGATTCTTACTGACAGACCCACTGCAAGTGTCCAAGGGGATACATGGAGTGGCCTCAAGCCTGGAATACCGAACAGAACTCTCTCTCCTCCTTTGCCTCTGTCTGGCCTCCTCCTGGGGGCCGGGCCACTTGCTAATCCGATACCCCAACTCCAGGGTTGTGGGTTGGCTCTCCTCTCTGGCCTGACCCTTGGATCCGCACTGCCTTTTTCCTTGGTCAGCCCAGCCACCTGGTAAAAACGTAAAGGAAACCTCCTGGACCTTGAGCTTCCACCCATCTGCTTGTCCAAGGGCATATTCCTAAAGGAAGGAAGGCTCAGGGGAGAGCACTGCCGGTTGCCTCTGCCATATATGGCTAAGTTCTGTCCTGGCAAGGCGGCGACCAGGGGAAAATGCAGACCTGGCAGGCCTGGCACCAGTGCGGCCGTCTGATGACTCACAGGAGCAGGTGGACAGTAGGTATGCCTCCTTGTAGGCTGCAAGGGCTCAGCAAAGTCTCAGGGCACCCTGGCGCCGGCAGCAAACCCAGGCTGACTCAAGTGTCTGTAGAGGCTGCAGCGGTGCAGAGCCTATCTGCCGTAAAGGCTTAGGACCAGATAAGGTTGCAAAACAGATGGCAAGCCCCAGGCTCCACGGTGTCCATGCTGTGGTCTACCACAGGTATTCCACCTGAGTTCTACCCCACGACAAGTGCTCCCCGGGGCTCAGCGCCAAGACCCAGGTAGGGCCTTGGTCAGAAGCAGCTTTGGGTCAAATGCACAAATAAAACCGTGCTTTTAGCTGCGTTCACAATTCTGATATCCAGCCTCATCGGCATGCTGCACATTCCTGGGTTTGGATCCTGCCTCTGCTGCTTACTGGCTGGGGAAGCTGGGCTGGTTACTCGACATCTATGAGCCCAGGTTTTCTTCTATATAATTGAAGGGGAGGAGTGTGTCTGAGGAGTTAATTCACTGATGCACATGTAGTATTTAGCCAAAGACCAGCGCGCTCCAAAAACAGCAGCTGCTCTTTTATTTATCCTTGGAGGTCACTTGTGGACCTGTCTCCCTCCCCCCACCTCCCCACCAGGGTCACTGAGTCCCTGGGATCCTCATGACCGAGCCTGGGGAGGGGGAAAGGGCTAGGGCATCATCCCCTTTCAAGTGCATCCCCAGGCAACTCTGCTGCAGCCCTGCCACGCAGAATGGAAGGGCTAGTGACAGCCACTGAAGCATCGCGTAGAAGAAGGAAGCCCAGCACAGCGGGGAAAGTGGGAGGAGGAATCTTAGGGCAGGGTAAGATGATCCCGCTTTATCTGAGGCCTTGGCGACCTCTTTTCCATACACTCGCTGCTGAGCTGCCTCTTCCTCAGATTCCTGTCAGCCCACCCCACCCAAAGGAGAGACCTAGGGCCAGCTCCCACCCCGCAGCCTGGCCCAGAGTGCTGCTGTGCTCCCAGGCAAGCACTTTGGAACAGAGCCTTTGGAATGGGACGGAGGCGGGCAGCAGGCTCCCTGCAAACGCAGCAAAGTGCACGCTCCTTCCACAGTCGTTCCCTGCAGCACGCTGAGCTGGGCTCCCATGCCAGCTGGCCAGGGTTCTAAGGACTGGCCCCCAGCCTCCAGAACGCGAACATGATACCCTTCTGAAGGGCCTGCCTAAGGACTCTCTGAATGTCCCTTTGGGGGAGAGTAACGCCAAGGATTCTCTTCTCCTTAGCTTCCAAGGCACGAAGGTTCCAAGTCCTGAGCAAGTTTTCCTGCAACTGCTCCATCGTTCACACGCATCAAGACTAGTCCTAACCAGCAGAGAGCTCACTGGCAGGCTCAGTATGTACGATCCTGGGGTGGGGCCCTCTAACATCGGTGAGAAACCACAACCAGGACCTGAAGGACTTTCTTTCTGACTGTATTACCATCTGGACGAACAAGAGTGAGCAACTGACTGCACGCTCACAGGTTTCCCCCATGCTGATAGCTGCCCTCCGACCTGCTCCCTCCTCGCCTGCCTTCTCCCCTGCTTCCTTCCCGGGGAACTTCTCTTCTGCTTCAGGGAGCTTCCTCGTGTCCCACCAGCTTCTTTCAAATACAAGTTCTCTTCTCAAAGTCCACTTCCCTCTCCTGGCCTATGTATAAACCCACCCAGAAAATTAGTTAAGGTTTAGGACAGGGGTGATTTTCACAGCTTTCCAGATGATTAAACACAAACAATTTCCTCCTAAATAGGAATAGCTTTGGCCGGTCAATTAAATGGGGCATGTGTGGTCATTCCTAGAAAAAGCTGTGTACTGGGCCACTGGAAAACAACATAATCTCTTATTACAACATTCTTCTTATAGAGAAGAATTCTGTTTCAACTTAAGCAGCCTCCAGGAGGGCCGCGCTGTTTGGCTGTTGAACGGCGGTGTCTACGGGAGCCTGAAGGTCTAGCCCAGGATTTCCTCCCGAGCTGCAGCTGCTTTGCATTTCCTCACAGGCCTGCCGGGGCAGACCAGCCCAGAGAGCCTCTCCCACCCTGTCTGTGCCTTTGGAGGGTTTCTTTGCTTTTCCCTCAATGGCAAGGATGTCTAGCTGGCTGCTTGTGCCACCAGATGGATGAAAAGCTTGCTTTATTCTTACTTTAAGAATCGCTTCCAAGGAAAACAACATCTGATACTTCTGTTGAACCTCAGAGTGAACACGTTGCTTTCAGATGCAGGGCTCTGTGAAGCCTCCCTGTAAGCCTGAAAGCCGGGGTGTCTGTTTCATCCTCGTTTTAGAGATGAGGCAGTTCGAAAAGCTTGCTCCAAGTGCACCCAGCATCTAAGCCTTGAACCGGCTTGTAAGCCTTTCACCCCAGAAGCCACATTCCCCACCGCACCAAGAAAAGGATGCAATTCCAGTTAATCTGACCCACAAACACTCAGGGCAACGGTGACCTTGACCCTGATGACCTGGAGTCCTGGGATTGCTGACTGCTCTGCGGCTGTGCACCACCCTTCTGGGCCAGAAAGCATCTGTTTGTTTAGTGCCCTGAAAAACAGACCTCCCCTCTCCTTCCTGCAAGCTAAGCAAGAATGTTCTCCCTCTCACGAGCAGCAAGGACTGAGGTCAGCATCTGGAGATCCTGAGCCACCGGTGCTGGATCCCCCCCTCCCCCGCCCTAGAAATGGGGAGGCCTGCGCAGACCCCCACTTTGATAAAAACGCGGCTATATAGGGCTTCTGTGACCTTGTTCCCATTTTTACACGTGGCTAGCAAATTTGAATAAACATATGTGCTATTTACTTATTCAAATACTTGGCGTTGGTTTTAATGCTGTTGTTCATCTGAATTCTTAGGTTCCTAGAAATTCCTAGGAACACAGCTTCCCATTAGGGAAATAAGAGTGCCTTAATCTTTGTCTAGAGGGGCCTGGAGCAGGGAGAGGGTGGGGATGGAAAGTGTGTCAGGGAGCTCACTTGGGGAAGCAGCAGCTGAATCACAGGTCTGCTGGGCTGGCCAATAACTGAATCACTGGAGCGAAGCCAATGTTCTGAGTAAACACACCCCTTCTGTGTATAATAAAAGAGCAGGTTAAAAAAAAAAAGAAGACCAGGTTTCCACTTCCCCTCTGATCTTGCCTTCTACTCTCTATGTCTTAATGTCTTACCCTGGCTCTTTGTCCCCCTCATCCATTAAAGGGGTGTGGGCAGCAATGCCAGTCTCACAGGGTTGCTGGGAGAACAAATAAGCATCTCCCCATACTGTACCCTACACACAGCTATTTAAATAAATGCTGGGTCCCTGGGTTCACCGACAAGACAAAAAAATCATGCATTCAGTGAGAAATGAGAAAAATGCACCCAGCAAAGGAGCAAAAGAAGAATTTCAAGGTAGTGTGATAGAGTAGCAATATCTTTCTAATACGGTCCGAGAGGGAGTGCAGCTAGACTTTTAAGAACACTTACTTTAGGGGTGCCTGGGTGGCTCAGTCGGTTAAGCGTGTGCCTTCCACTCAGGTCATGATTCCAGGGCTCTTGGATCGAGCCCCCTATCAGGCTCCTCGCTAAGTGGGGAGCCTGCTTCTCCCTCTCCCTCTGCCTGCCTGCCACTTTCTCTGCTTGTGCTCTGTCTCGCGCTATCGCTGTGTGTCAAACAAAATCTTAAAAAAAAAAAAAAAAAGAACACTTACTTTAATAAATCTCATGAACATTTATTTTAAATCAGAGCCTGCGGGCTGAATGCAGGTGGGTGTGTTTGGCTGGGCCCCACAGAGGGTTAACTCAAGTAAGTGTGTGGGTGTGTGTTTTAACTTTAAATTGATTGTCAATGTTTGAAAAACTGAGATATTTCACTTCAAGACAAAGATTTCAGGAAAAGTCAAAATCTTACAAAACCAGGCTGGGTCTGAGTAGTGGCTGCTGCTTTCACATTTGCTGGGACACCTGCCAGTCCCTCTGTTTGAACTTGTGACATGGCCTTTGTACCATGCCTTTGGACATTGAGTTCTGGTGACATACTCAAGGATTAGGTTAGGGGACTTAAGCTCACTCCTGCCCTTGCCACTGCCTGGTAACCCATGTAAGCCTCAATTTTCTCATGGGAAAAATGGGGATAATAATACTTTTCTATTTCAAAGGGCTGTTAAGAGCATCAGATAAAATAAGCACGTGAATGTAATAAACACGAAGCAGACTCTCGCTGAGAGGTAAGTACCTACACCCTCCACTCCCATCCCTGCTGAAGTGCTCTCAGCACCCCTCTGTCCCTGATCCGGCACTGAGCAGCTCCCTACCCTCCTCCTGCTGTGTCCTGAACTGTGGCAAAGGACAGAAAACACGACCTCTCCTGGTGTTATCAGCGGAAGCACGCCCCAGCCCCCAACAGACATGCTGACGTCCTAACCCCCAATAATTCAGAATGAACCGAATTTGGAGAGAGGGTCTTTAAAGATACAATTAAGTGAAGATGAACCCAGTCCGGGGAGGCCCCTATCCAATATGATCGGGATCCTCACTGAAGAGGGAATTTAGACGCAGATGGGTAGAGAGGGAAGAGCATGCTAAGACAGAGGGAGAAGATGGCCCCACCGCAAGCCACAGAGAGAGAGGCCACGGAAGAAACCCACACTGGTGGCACCTGAAAATAAATGTCTGCATTTAAGCCACTCTGTCTGTGGTGCTCTGTGACAGCAGCCTGAGCCAACAGAGACACTAAGGTTCTCTTGCATCTGGATGACGTGGGCTCTGCCGATGGGGTACATTCATCAGAGATCTGGAAAGTGGAAGTGAGAAGGCCAGTTCTTGCGGCTTGGCTTTCTTTCCTGCTGGCAAGCAGGGTAGTGGGCAGGTTGCATCTGGTGGGGATGGGCACACCGCAGCGTGCAGTCACGAGCAAGCTGGTGCTAAGAAGCCCTATGGCTGCAGCAGCCTCCCGGGTCTCCACTTCCTGCTGGGTCCCGGGGGCCAGTTCTGCACGCTGAGATCTGGAAGTTGGTCCTGGTCTGAAGCTGAGAACCAGTTCCTCCAGCCCTTCCACTCATTATGCAAGCAAGCACCTCATCCCCGGTGTGAGAGCCCATTCTGCCAGCATTGCCAAGAATGCTTTCTGTTGTTGTAACTGAACCCTGACTGATACACAATTGTTAATCTGTTGTTTTGTAATCTGCAAATAACTTAGAGATTAGCTATGATTTCTATTATAAGGTTATTATTTCTGAACACACCAAACCCTAAGACGTGAAAACAGAGAGATGCAAGACATGAAATTCTTTTTCTCCTTCTCTCCAACCAGAGCTTGCACCATGTAAGATCAAGGGTGGTGTACCTGGGACCAGTCACACGTCCTGCCCTGATCCTGCCCTGTGCTGAGAGCGAAGGGCAGAAAAGAACAAGTTCCTGGCCTGCAGAGGGGAAAAATGAGAGGCAGAGATGAGGAAGGGCTGCATGGAGCTGTGGACAATGTAGTTTGGGCTGGGGAAGACACAGTGACTAGAGCTCTTCTAAGAGTTTATATAGGCTCAGAATCAGCAAAATGAAGAATAAGGACAGCACTCTCTCAAGACCTCAACAGAATTCATCCTCTAAAAGTAGCAAGCTTTTCTACTTGCAGACCCTTGCAAAGTCCTTATCTGGTAGCTTTGAGGAGTTCATTTTACCTGCCATCCCGGCATATGTCCCTGAATCATAATGACGATGGTGGACAAGGATACTGTTGCTTTAATGATGATTTTTGAAAACTACCACCATTTACTGAGTATGTGCCTGGTAAGTGAAGGCTATGAATCATTTCATTTAATCCTCTTAGAGAGGAGTTCTTTTAGCATTTCTGTTTTACAGATGAAACACAGAGAGGTCAAAGTGACTATATTATTTATGCAGCAGAGGTGGGACTTGAGTCACCTGACTCCCAAGGTCATCCTCTTAATCACCACCTATCATGCTTGTCTCAGAACACCAAGAACACAAGGGAGGAATGGGGAGGAAGTAGGGGAACCGTCAGGAGCACTGAGCAAAAGAAGGCATGACCTCCATTTAAAATGAGCCTGTTGCTCATTTAAATAGGTCATCTCCAGAGCAATGGCAGTAGGTGCCCAGTTAAGTGGCCTTGGGAGAATACCTACGTGAAGGAGAACTAAAAAGAAGGACTGCCCCAGATTCTAGGTAAGGCTATTGCTAAAGACGCAGGATGATCCCATCACGCCTAGGAAGCCACGAGAATGAGCCAGTCTCGGTAATAAATCCAGGAGACTGTTGCAGAGCCTGAGTAGTGGGTTCCTAACTTCACTGTGTATCTAGAACATCTGGAGCACTTGTTAAAAAAAAATCTGATTCCATAGGTCTGTGGCAGGAACTGAGAATCTGCATTAAAACTTTCTACATGATTCTGACTTGGTCCTCCTGAGAAACACCAATAATGATTGTCAGAATCTTACCTCTGGGTTCTATCCACATTTATTTTTGCCTGGGAATTAAAATATGTCCATTTAAAAGAATGCCACTTCCTATCTATGCTTAAGTTTTCAACGTTCTGAACAAGCCCCCGGAAAATTCTGACTCCTTTTAATGATCTTAACTTATAGGATTAAGTAGCCTTTCGTTTGAAATAGCTATCATTTAACACACTTCTTGGCTACAAAATTTACATTTGTTTTCTGAACAGTCACTTCCTTCTGGAAAGTTTCTCTTCTCAGTGATGCTAGACTGTCCTGTTCTTGCCTGTCCAACAGCGTTCATTCCTTCTTCAAACTCCGTTTTCTCAGGGGCTCAGTCCTGATGCAGCCGAGTGAACAGGGTTTTGACGGTCAGATAAATTTGAATCCTGGCTCAGCACTTACTACAACTCATTTGGTTCACTTCTCTGAACTACAGTTTCCTCATCTGTAAAGTAGGAAGGGATGATAATAGCCCTAACTTCACAGGGTTGTTAGCAGGAGGAAATGAAAGAACGTATGTAAATTACCTGGCACCTGCCTGACCCACATTGGTCTTCAGTCAGGTAAATGACGTTCTACCGTGATGTGAACCATGACCAATGCGCTTCTCATGCAAACCTTTACCACAATTCCATGCTCTTAAATGAAAGCCAATTTAAATGTACACACAAATGGCACACAAGTGCTTTGAACACAACACATGGAAAAGCTGGTGAGACACCACAGCCCGCCCTCAACATTTCTGATGTCCCTTTCTTCAGAGAGTGACACCACCATTGTCCTGGTCACTAAGGCATCCTCATACCTCCATTCCCTTCTCCTAATTCCTTAGACCAAGTGCTGGCCAACAGAAGTCTGAATTTTTCTAGTAGCCACATGAAAAAAGAAGAGAAAAAAGAGAAATTTTGATATGTTTTAGATGGCTATAACCAAAGTCAAAATGTAGTCAATGTAAAAAAACTGAGATGTTTTACCTTCTTTTGGTTCTGAATATTTAAAAGCTCAGTACCCATTTTACATAGATAGCCCATCCTGATTTGGACTAGCCACATTACAACTGTTCACGAGTCACAGTGGCTGCCTCAAGGGGCAGTGCAACCGTGTAGACCTTGGCATTTTCCAAATTCTCTTGCTCCCTACATTTTGACACACAGTCCATTTTTAGTGCCCCCCCCCCCCGCCCCATTCTCTCTGCAGCCATTGTCCCTCCATCAT